CAATTGTTCTTACAGAAGACATCGACAAGATTTGTGTACTTGTTAAAGTGTTCGATGTACTGTATTTATGCCCCGTACCAAACATTTCAAATTATTGATTATCAAAAAGACTGTATTAAACAAACAAAATTATGTGGTCTTACGTTATAATTCAAGTGGTTTTGACTTACATTACCGCGTTTTTCTTCAAAACTTACCGTTACAATTGAATCACGTGGTTTTTAAAATGTATTTTATTGCACAACAAAATTTTAAAAAACTACCTTATAACTTACGACAAATCCTTATATTTTATAAGATACAACCACTTTCTTTCACTCAGCTTGTTATACTAAGGAAATCAGTATAAATTGCTATGATACATCATATGTAATACACAATAAGTAAAAAAATTAGAGTACAAAACATAAAAATACAAGTACAGTGACGACTGAGTCTCACTAATTCTTCCTTTACTTCCTATTTGATTTTGGACGATTGAAATATTAATCATACGGCAATGCTCTCTTGATCCTTTAATCATACATTGTCTAATGAAATCTTGATTAATATTTATTTACTATGGTAGTATTTAAAACTAGTCACGTAGTCTTACATTTCTGTTGTGGCCGCCATATTGTAGAAAGCGTATGGCCACTAAGTTTACGGTACTCCATTTTTTAAGCCCTACTACATGACACCCATATTATGGGAGTCGTAAAAACATATGTGATTCGCCACTTTGTATTGACCACCACATCAAATGGGAATTAGCATTTAGCCTGTTATCATTATTTAATATGATACATATTAAGGGCAGTCTAAAGATAGTTAAAGTTTCCTACCTTATCCATACGGTTACTCGAATCGCATGGCTTTATAACATTATTCATTTAGTAGCTAGCTATTTTATGCGTCTACTCTTATTTTTTCAATAAAATTTATGCGTCTACTCTTATTTTTTCGATAAAATAGCTAGCTACTAAATAAATAATGTTATAAAGCCATGCGATTCGAGTAATCTTATCGATCAGGTAGGAAACTTTACCTATCTCCGGACTACCTTTAAACCCATTTATTTAAAAGATATTTTTCGAAAGTCTGTGAAGAAGAAGCTCATTTGCCACATTGTACCACTCACCATCATTTATGTCTAATGACGTCACACATTTGATTGTAGGAATAATACAGCTCTAGATAATATCTGTAAAGGGTTAGTTGTGATAAAATAGACAACATCCCCGTATCTACAACAAAACTAGTCAATAGATGATGTTTTTTTTTCATTCACAAAAATTCTCAAAGTCCCGATGCATGTGAAGTTGAAAAATCAAAAAAAAAAATTTCTTAAAACGTATAGTTTAAGCGACCAGACATTGTTTGAAATGAAAAAATAACAAGCTCCTAGGAGAACTTTTTTCAAAAATCTCAGGTAAGATCTCAGCTGAGCTTCCAGCTGAGTTTTTGGCATAAGATTTTACCTGAGGAATCAGCTGAGAACTCAGGTGAGATTTCACCTAATCATTGAAGACAGGGTGTGTATGTATGTTATCGGTCATGTCTCAGAAACCTGTGCGGTCCGATTTCAATTATTTCGGGTTTAAAATTATTGTTTTTGCATATTTATACCGGCTCGAAAAAGAAATTTTAGTTTCGCACCTTATCACGGTTGTTGCTGTCCGTTTTTGATTTTCGACACGGTTTTTTAACTTAGAAAGGGTGTCTAAGCATTTTTTTTTCTTTTAAAATTATTTTGATTTATTGAGTATAGAATCAACACTTCTTTATATTTTCAATCCTTTTGAAAGGTTTTTTTATTACTTTGAATGTGTACAAAACTAACATAGTAAGATTTGTTTATGTGTCAGGTGTGTTTATTAGATTGTAAACATAAATAAAATATATACTATAATAAAATCAGTAATTAACAAATTGATCCAAATACATTGTAAAATAAAATATTCAGCGTATATGATGGCAGGAGTGTGAGATGCAAATATAAATATTTGGGTGGGGGTGTATAAGTGCTTCTCACAATGAATACACCCTATAAACATATTGGAGAAATCAAGCGAATCATTCCTTACTTGGCAGTGTGTTTAGAAAGGCCAAGACATCGTGACAGAGTGGGTTTGAAATAACCAGCCAAGAAAACTGTATCATTAAATAGAGAAACAGATATACGTGTATATAACGACACTTACGAAAGCTTAGGATTTTTAATAATTTACCAATACAAACAGTACATTTTTAACTAAACAGTAACAGTATGGTTTTCGCTAACAATTTCTTCTGATGTATATAAGAAAAATTGTTTTTAATAAAAATTATACCTGTGGATTATATATTATGCACTCCTCCTTGTTGCAGAGTTTTGCTGAATCCTTGGGAGACAACAATTAACACAAGCTTTTATATATATATATATATATATATATATCTACATTATATAGTTGTATTAACGAAAGTGAGTCTCGTCCCCCCCGCTCCTACTTGCTCTACTTTTCCCACCCTTCATCCCCCCCATATTGTACTTATTTATCAAATGTTTTACCATCATAAATGTTTAAAAATATATGCAATTTAGTACCTAAGTCATAATTTGTTTTTAGAGTTTTTTAAGTAACTAATCATAGGTCTTCTGCTGTCTTTTTGCTTCCCCTTACTCACTATATGTCTCTGAAGTACCATTATTTGTTTAACTTGATTGAACTTTTACATTTTAAGTCTTTTTCTGGTCCATGTCTACTGCACCCAAATATTAAATTCCTTATTACCTGAGGACTTTATTAACAGAAAGACCGAATTCAGGAGGAGGTATGATAACGTAGACAAACACAATTAAGCTTTTGAAACAATATTTTATTCTGTTAGCTTAAAGTTGTAACATTTTATGTGTCATTTTAATCCATCTGTTTTTTTAAAACCCTTTTCACATTTTTTACATGTTTGTTTTTCATGGTTTTAATGAATTAACATACTTCTGTTTAAATGTGACGATCTTCAAAGTTACGTATTTTTGTAATACTGGAAAATTTCTATCTAAACAATATTTGTAATTTCTGACTTATTCTCGGATGCAATTTGAATAAAAATTCTTTTTGGATTCTTATATTTTAATAAAGCAACGTATAATTATCTGTAATAGGATAAAGGTTTTTAATATACAATCCTAAAGAATCAAAACTCTGTTTTTCTGGTTTGTTAATAAATACAGAACATGCTAATACAAAGGAAAACTGTTTTTAATAGAAGACAAAAGGTAATGATAATAAGGTGCTAGTATTCAATGTTATTCTAGGGATATGAACTTTGCATTTTTTTTCTCATAAGTATTTCTGCTTCTACATTATACTTAAATAATTTTGTTGTTTTTAATCTTGTGCCTCTACAGAGACCGTCTGATAAACTTAAAGTTTTTATCAACACNAGCCAAGAAAACTGTATCATTAAATAGAGAAACAGATATACGTGTATATAACGACACTTACGAAAGCTTAGGATTTTTAATAATTTACCAATACAAACAGTACATTTTTAACTAAACAGTAACAGTATGGTTTTCGCTAACAATTTCTTCTGATGTATATAAGAAAAATTGTTTTTAATAAAAATTATACCTGTGGATTATATTTTTTATAATGATATTGCAAATAAGTGTTAAGCTACAAAATGCAGAAAAAGAATAGGAAGTCGGAAAATACTGTTATATATTTTTTATAGGAAACAAGTACAAAACACGATTTGTGCTCTTCTTACGCAAGATTCTTACTCACCCGTTGTGCATCAGAATTGCGTAAGATCAGACTAGATGCAGACTGACACAATTTCGATGTCGATGTAAATCTTGTGCAAGAAGTACATAAAAATTGTAAGGACTGTGCTACTAGGGTTACGAGCAACATTAAGATTTTTTATATATTGCAATTTTTAACAACTAAATAAAAATAATGTTTTTCAACCAAAAAATTAAATACTATCCTTACTTGACAGGCATTTTAGTTTGTATTACACGCGTTTGTGTTAAACTGTGTTACATGCATTTAAAAAGTGAAAGGTAACTTATTTGTATTGTAAGTTGCATCAGTTAAGGGGCTCTCAACTTCCTGCATCTTAATTCGTAAAGATAATTCATCGACGTTCTATTTGATTTTTGCACCGTATATGAAGGTAGTGCTATTGATACCGCAGTAATCAAATGAGAACTTTATACCAATGGCAATCCATGATTTAGTGTATCTGATACATATATTATTTATGTAGATAATATAGCCGTGCTTGACTTATTAATTTCAGGAATTCAATTACTAATTTATAATCTCATAGGAACGTAATGAATATTTTTAAGTGACTGAAACGAAATTTATGTTTTTAACTTCTTTGTAAATTTGTATTAGAATCGTGTAGGTAAGTTTTTTAAAACACGAAATAAGGCACCGTCATTCATAAGATTACGTGCTGGACTGATGAGAATAAAATGCCCATAACTTTTTTGTTACGCACCCTAGATATGTCCACAAAAATTAGACTAGGCCATTTTTGGGTACTTATAATTTAATATGTTTAATTTCCTCAAACTCTTGTAGGTCAATCTGTATACGATAATATGACTTTTAGTATTACGTGACTGCACTTTTCATGATAATTTCTGTAAATTAAAAAATTGTATACTCGTCACAGTGCTCATGACTCACTACGAAGCAGAATGAGCCCTAAGTAGTGATTAGATTGATGTTGTTCAAAAATTATAATAGTTCAATCGCTATAAATCATAGTAGAAAAGGCTTTCTTATCCACAATATTAACTTGGTGATTCGTAATGTATGTACAAAAAATTTTTAATAGCTTTTCGTGCTTATTAATTGATTCGATACAACTTAAGGGATGGGAGACAAGATGCAAAAATTTAAGAAAACAAAATAAGTGAGCAAGAGTTACAATTTTTACTCATGCTCATAAAAGTATAAGGAGATACTCGGTAAACGTTTAGGCAAAAGAATGAGAAAATTCGTATTTCTTACCCATACATACAAATCATGTACACATCGCTACATTGCTCTGCACGTGAGATAAGACACTTATTACATTAAACGTGTAAACAAATGCAAGATAAGGCATATCACAATTCATATCGACACTTAATATATACGATTGCATTCCTGGCCTCCAGAGATATTATATTATTGGTACTTGGACTATAGGGCTCACAGAATATCAGCTGTCTGGTCGATTGTTGTGATGTGCTATAAACGTTGTCACTAACTCATTTGCTGACCAAAGAAGTAATACCTACGATGCGTGTTATACGCCAAGCATCAGCTTATATGACTATAGCTGTGGGGCTGGGTAGAGAAAAATTTTAGTGTGCGCCCTCTATGTGTGAGTACTTGTGTATGCACACATGCATAGAGCATGCATAATGATGTGTATTCCTCTTTTGAAACTGTCTTGTGACTAATGTGAATTGTCTGGTTATAGGGGGACAAAAATCTCGACGATAAGCAAAAAGAGATAATCGTTCTAATTTTCAGAACAAGAATATTTTTCCGCATAACTTAAGGGACAAAAGCTAACAATACAATTATTAGGTGATGAGTAAATAAAGGCTCAAAAAATGGTCAATAAAGAATACATGGTAAAATAAATTTAGGCCATAATCGGTCCGGTTTTTGTTATAAAACCAATAGTAGAAATCGACAAGATTTTATCTTTAAATTTCGCTTATAACTTTTTGTTTAGGCATCGTACTACAAAAACAGTAGATAATAATTTGTTTGTTATTTAATTATCTACCAAACAGTGCTGGTAAGACTATCATGAATCTTTTTTTCATGGAGTTATAGAGCAAGAAAGTGTGAAATACTCCGTTAAAATCTCACTCATACAATATTATTCACTGTCACATTTATTAATACAAATAATTAAAAATTTAAAACTTGACTTCTCCTACAGGTATCTTTGTAACATTTTTTGTCTGACATTAATAATAATATATGAAGACAAAGTTATTGACTTACTTTCTATTTGATTAATAATAATGTTACAAAATAATCATTAATTAACATTCATCATAGACCAAATCGCCATTGAGCAAATACTACACAGGGATTTTAGGACCTTCATGCAAACTACGTACTGAAGCTTAGTTTTCGTAAGCCCTATCACTAACATGCAATATAAAAAAAACTCGGTCGTGATTTGTAGAAACAACAAAATTGCGTCACGTTTAGGATAAAAAAATCCTTTTTTTTCCATTTTTTCTTAATTATTAACAAAACTAAGGATCTTAGTGCATAACGTTCAAATCAGCGCAGTAGTTTATACGTGATCAGCAAAAAACTGTTATAAAATGCTTTTCATTTTATTCACGATAACTTTTGCAATAATTATTTAGCAGTCTTAAAATTTACTAAAAAATTTTGTTTTTATTGAGCCTAAAAAAAAGCAGCAACTCAAATGTTGAAAGATAAACAGAAGCCAACAAACCTATTTATTTATTAAAAAAACCGTTTTTGTAAAAATGTTATAATCCAAGTTAAAGTACTCTCATTTAAATTTTACAAAATGCACATTCTACTCTAAAAAAGATGTACTTTAGCGTGCAAAAAGAATTAAAATATCATGTTATTTGGTTGTTTCAAGTTGGCTTTAAAAATTATACGTTCTTATTCCACATAAACAAATGCAATAAGTTTTTAACATAAAACTTGTACTGTAATGCATCTTTGGTAATTGTATACTTGGCTTTTTTTTATAAATTAAATGAAACAACAAGTTTGTTCTACGAACTCTAGAAGCCAAAATATATTTTTTTTTATTACAATCTTGGGCTTTTGTTTTTTTAATGTACAGAGCTCAGATTTGGAGATGTTTTAGAAAAGTTTCTATGCTTTTGATAAAAATTATCATTAACGTACTTTCTGCTTCTTCGACCAGATAATAATTCAAAGTGTCAGCTTTCTCAATAGCAGGGTAAGAGAAGAACAGCTGATTCTATCAGTTTTGCCGCTTCCTAAACTGATTGTGACCACCTGGAAGCTAGCACGCAAATTATCGACTTATGCAATAAAAAAAATACTAGGCGACGTGTTTTTATCTGCACATTTCATTTATGCAAATAATTGGATCTGCACATGCCTCAATTTTGCATAAAAAAATAAAAAAATATTTGCGATTTGCAGGACGCAGTTGGATAGTGATATCTCGGCAACAAAGGTATATTTGCAACTGCACACAATTTTAATAAACTGCACATTATCCGAACTTAATTGCACAATCAAAATTTCTATCGGCACAACCTTATTTAATTAATAAATCAATTAATAGGAATAATCCGTATTGTAGCTACGAGTACTCATGCACTGCGCATGTCCAGCTGTTGACATCGCTTATAGAGGGCGTCAAGCCTTGGGTGGGAAAGTTTAAAAAATTCTCAAATTTGTGCATAATTTTAGTAATTTGTTTTGTATTCAAAAATCAGTTCTGGTCCGTCATTAAATTTCCACCACGAATCAGGCCCCATTCAATAAGATGCCAGATTTTTTCTACGTCTTATGGATAATAGTAACTTATTTTATTCATTCGGTACCTACAAAATAATTTCAACTTATTTCAAAAAAATTATACTTAGTAGCTACTACACGTCCATCTGTAGGTACTAAATAGTTCTAGGTCAACCAGAAGTACCTCATTCTTGGACAATTTAGGAAATCTTGACCCTTAGCATCTTTACATCAAGTAAATCCACCTACCTAACAATGACACTACCAGTAACAACAAACTGTAGCTCGTCCTGTTCAGCTAAAAATCAAATGATACGCAAGCAGATGGGTCTGCATCTGCAGGTAAACTTTCTCACCCAGCGCTGCCTTTTGACACAAGACCTGATCTTGATCTCCATGCCGACATTTAGCATACCCTTCAAAGTATTTTTACCAGCTATATGAGTAAATGAGTACATCAAATTTGAGGTAGTCAACTTTGCAACCTAGCTTCATGGTTAATGTAAAGTATATGTGTAAAATATGCAGAATGTATCAATGCCATGAAGCAGACAGAGCAGACTGCACCACTTCTCTTGCATTCGCATGTACATATATATGTATGAAATTTGTATTTCTATTTGAACTGTTCAAATTGAGCATGTGCTTTTTTTACAAAGTCCTAATTGATAAGTAAGTCCTTATTTTATATAAAATACGAAAGCAGAGAGTAAAAGTGCATGAATGTTTTATGTTTGTTTGAGAATTTTTTAAACTTTCCCACCCAAGGCTTGACGCCCTCTATAAGCGATGTCAACAGCTGGACATGCGCAGTGCATGAGTACTCGTAGCTACAATACGGATTATTCCTATTAATTGATTTATTAATTAAATAAGGTTGTGCCGATAGAAATTTTGATTGTGCAATTAAGTTCGGATAATGTGCAGTTTATTAAAACTGTGTGCAGTTGCAAATATGCCTTTGTTGCCGAGATATCACTATCCAACTGCGTCCTGCAAATCGCAAACATTTTTTTATTTTTTTATGCAAAATTGAGGCATGTGCAGATCCAATTATTTGCATAAATGAAATGTGCAGATAAAAACAAGTCGCCTAGTATTTTTTTTATTGCATAAGTCGATAATTTGCGTGCTAGCTTCCAGGTGGTCTGATTGTGCGCGTATCAATGTTTAATTTTATAGGAATTCCAAAGTCATATTTTATAGTTTCTACTGCAGCTACAATAATCTTTTTAAGCTTTGCTTGGGATAGCTCGACGGGAGGAATCCGAATGTCGGACTCATGTTTTAAGAACAATTTGATCCAGAGCTGTACATTTATAGTAAAATATACTACTTGCAAGGATGTTCTAAACAATCCTCTTTTCAGGGATTTCATGCGTTTTACATCACATACGCATATTTGGTGGGCAACTTGTACTGTTTTCGTTTAAAGTATTTATATTATTGATAAAACTAGTGGTCAGGTGGGTGCGTGGATACCCAAGTAAGAAGTTACACTTTTCTGAAAACAATAAATTAATCAAAATACTTCCTATTGAACGATATTTTAAATGAACGTTCTATCACGTATCAAAGGAAATGTATCTACAGTTTCAATAAGGATATTTGATAATTAGGTGTAAATTTAAGGAATATTTTAATACATAATGTATAAGCAATTATACAAAATTTATATTGTAGATAAGAAAAGTATAACTATACACACAATTCTGTGCGTTTTCATGATCGAATAAGGAATATACTACTGTAGAGATATATTCTATATTCTCTACCCGATCAGAAACCTTAGTGGGGTGCTGATGGGGTCCACACTAGGTTGCCAAATTAACCACATGAGATCCTAGAATGGCATCGTCACGGGGCTTAGATGTGGTCCTCTCTAGTGTGCCCCAATAGGAGAGAAGGTTAACCTAACCCTTTGTATTTTTTGTGTCGGTATATCATTACATTTAATACAATTATTATAAGAGAATATGTGCTTGATTTACCATGCGTGCTATGCAGATTATGGAGTTTATCGACCGTGCAGATAAGGAAGAATTAAATTACGGTCACATATATATTCAACCCAAACACGGAAATATATAATGTTTTCAACAGTTTTGGCTAGGTTACTGGGGCAGCCTACGATGGACCCTCAACTCGCCCCGTGACGCGCCTAACAGGGTACCAATTAGGCAGCTTAAGGGTGACCCCATTAACTAAGGTGGCAAACCCATTAAATTTCTGATTGGGTACTTTCATGGGATCTTGAAAACTCAATTCTTTCAAAACATTTTCCTACCACCTACGCTGGTAACATTTCCATTACTTTACGCTCTCATGGGTCACATATGCTCACATACTTGTACTTGTCCATATTTAATACTCGCAGCACGCATATAAAAAATATCGAAAAAAATTGCGGATTGGTTAACTGTACTGTTCTTTACATGTTTAAGGTAGAAAAACCCTCATTTTACATGGAACTTCACAGATGAATTACATAAAATTGCATTCATACGAAAATTATCTGTAGAAATTTTCAAATTTTTGTATGATGAATGGACTTTTAAATGGACAAACAAGTTGCTCTGTTTTTTCTTAATAAAATAAGAAACCAAGAGTTAACCATGCATAAATACTTATACATAGATACTTCTACGTCAGCAAAGTAATTATCAACATAGCTGCATATTAGCGCTCCTCTCATCTTTCTGAACCCTTACTTCGCTAACTGTAATAAATGTCCTCAAGTCCAAAAATCA